TCACTATGAGTCGGAACCGACTGCATGGTACTTAACAACAACAACAACAATTTTTAAAAATTAAGTAAAATCAAGAATGCTCAGGAAAATCCATGAGTGAAAGTCACCATAAGTTTAAGTAGGAAGGAAAGGAATAAAATAATCAGTGCTGTCTCTTAATTGGTGTTGTTTTTAAGTGCCATTGCGTCACTTCTGACTCATAGCGACCCTGTATAGGGTTTCCCAAGAGCAGCTGGTGAGTTTGAACAGTCAGCCTTGTGGTTCAAACCGATCTTGTGGTCCAGTGCTTATTCTACAACACTACACCAGGACTCCATGTTCTGTCTCTTAATATTAACCATTTAAATGGATTATAAAGCTGGATATAACGGAACATAGATAACTTCTACTTCGCTCTTGTGGGTCTATGATACACAGGTGCTCCTCAAATTGTGTTCTATTGGTAGCCAGGCACCGTTTGTTGCCAGAAAGAGATAAGGAATTGGCATCAGTACTGAAATCAACTACATCAATAAGCACATCAATAAGCACTGTATGTTTCTACAATACTCCATAAGACTTTATTGACAAAGTAGTGCATAGATTTACGCAAACATCACTCAGGGTAGCACCACACTACATACACCACAAAAAAAATAGAAAACACTACAGCTCATCATTCTGCTCCTGAGATACAGCTCTCCATTTTTAAATAATAATGTGAAAAGACTATTAAATGAGCAATATATTATCAAAGCTAAATGTACTGCCTTCAAATGGATTCTGACTCAAAGCAACCCTACAGCTAAACATTTACTAATAGATTTATAGGGCACCAAGCTCTGGTAGCGTAGTGGTTATGAATCAGGCTGCGAACCTCAGGGACAACAGTTTGAAACTACCAGCTGTTCCGTGGGAGAAAGATGAGGCTCTCTGCTCTGGGAAAGATTTACAGCCTTGGAAACCCAGTACAGGGTCGCTATGAGTCTGAAGTGACTCCACGGCACATAACCACCACCAGCAAGCAACAGTTGCAAATGACGCGAGTGCTTCATAAGGTCTCGGTTACCTCTACTTAGGAATGTGCAAAAACAGTCACAGGTAATATACACACAAAGGAATATGGCTGTGTTGCATTAGAACTTTAGACACTGAAATAAGAAGTTCATACAATTTTTACATGTCATAAAATAGTATTTTTCTTTGGATTCTTTTTTTATTCATTCAAACTATAAACACCACTTCTAACTCACAGACTGTAGAAAACAGACAGTGGGCAGTAGTTTCCTGAACCCTAAACAACATGATCCAGCCATCTACATTCTTACCTTCGGGCAAGCTGCCTCAATTGTTCAGCACACTGACTGTCTGATTTCTGGTTTGTAAGTTCAAGGATGTTCATGGTTCTATGAAAATGTCCACATGACAAACTGACACTAACAGCTGTTTCATGTTTATCTCCAGTAAGCACCCACACTTTAATACCAGCCATTCTCAATGCTTCAATTGTTTCTCGAACTTTATCTTGTAGCCTGAAAACAGAAAAAATAAAGTTGGTAATAGAAAAACCATATTGTAAGAAAAAGTCACTAATGTTTATGTTGTTAAGTACTGTGGAGTTGGTTCTGACTCACAGAAGCAGGGTTTCTGTGGCTGTAAATCTTTATGGGAGCAGAAAGCCTCATCTTTCTCCCGTGGGACTGGCTGGTAGTTTGAACAGCCGACCTTGTGGTTAGTAGCCCGATTCGTAACCACTATGCTACCAGAGCTCCGTAAGTCACTAATATACCAAACCAAAAGGAGCTCTGGTAGCGTAGTGGTTACAAGTAGGGCTGCTAACCTCGAGGTCGGCAGTTCAAACTACTAGCCGTTCCCACAGGAGAAATATGAGGCTTTCTGCTCCCATAAAGATTTACAGCCTCAGAAACCCTATACAGGATCGCTGTGAGTTGGAACTGGCTCCACGGCACATAACCACCACCACAACCACCACCACCACCACACCAAACCAAGACTCCATTACCATCAAGTCAATTCCAATTCATAGCAACCCTAGAGGGCAGAGCAGAACTACTCCGTAAGGGTTCCACGGCTATAAATCTTTATGGAAGCAGACTGCTGCATCTTTTTCCCATTTGAACTACCGACCTTTCACAGTTAGTAGCCCAGTGCTCAACCTACTGTGCCAAAGAGTTAAATTCTGAACAACTGACCTAATAAAGTTACACTATAGCGGAGTGGTTACGAATTGGGCTGCGAACCTTAAGACCAGCAGTTCGAAACTACCAGCCGCTCCGCAGGAAAAAGATGAGGCGTTCTGCTCCCGCAAAGACTTACAGCCTCGGAAACCCTGTACAGGGTCGCTATGGGTCAGAACCGACTCAAAGGCACTTAACAACAACAACAACATAGCAATAAAACTGAAATTTTCTCTCATTGGGGAAGACATAAGAAAAATCAGATTAATGATAACCTGGCAAACATGTTGTTGCTAAGTGCCTTCAAGCTCCTCGGTTCTGAGTCATAGTGACCCTGCGTACGGTTTCCAAGGAACAGCTGGTGGGTTTGAACTGCCAGCCTTGTGGTTCGCAGCCCAGTGGCTAACAAAATCAATCAATTCAAATGTATAACTTTTTATCTTAATAATATATCCTCTTAGGTGACTTTTAAAGAACCAAAATAATTATATGGTTTCAATAAACTTAATATGTTGTTGTTATGTGCCGTGGAATCGGTTCCGACTCATAGCAACCCTGTACAGGGTTTCCAAGGCTGTAAATCTTTATGGGAGCAAAAAACCTCATCTTTCTCCCACAGAACAGCTGGTAGTCTCGAACTGCTGACCATGAGATTAGCAGCCTGATTCATAATCACTATGCTACCAGAGCTCCTTAAACTTATTATAAAACCTCCAATTTCAAATGAGAAGAAGGTTTTTCTCTTTTTGATAAGAAAATCTCTCATATCATTAGTTCAAATATCAAGACATGGCAAATGAAGGACTACCTAACCTTCAGTGAGTCTCAGAATTCTCAAAGACAAATGAAAACACCCAGATTAAAGAAAAAAAAAATGCAAATACCCTTAGGCTGTAGATGAACTATACGCTTAATTTGTAGAATTCAATATAATTTATGGAATTCAGTTTAATGCAAGAAACTGTAAATGAGATAATGAGACAGATACTGAGGAATGAAGAATAAATGGAATCAAGGAATTCATAGGGTTATAGAGAAGAAAGTGTTAAATAATTCTAGTCCCACAAGGGGAAAAACGGAAATACCTATAAAACATAGAGACTTCAGGAGAGAATTTTCAATCCTGTTTGGCGTCTGGAAAATTCTTAGTGGATTGGAGTTAAGACCTTTAAGAACAGATGGATAAAGAAGGGAAGACTAATCCAGGCAGAAGACATAGGCTTGCCAAGGGGAAAAAAAGTCACAAAATAGAATCATTTTCAGCTTTCAGGGGACAACTAGAGTTTGGTACTGTTGAAACATAAAGTGGAAGGGTCAGTGGTGGAAATTAAATAGGAACTGCAGCATTAAGGTCTTGCATGGCACACTAAAGATTAGTCTCAAAATTCAAGCCTTTAGGCAAACAACAGAAAGTTTGGTTTCCTTTTATCTACTTCCAATTTCTGGCTAAAAAAAAACAACAACTGTATATTGAATAGGAATAATTAAGGTTTTAGCTCTCTCTATATATTTTTTTTAAGTTTTTATTGTGAACTGAGTGATATTTTACATGGGAGTTCATCAGTTTTACACTTATCATTTCACTGCAATGATTACAATCTCCTCCGTGCACCATCATTCAACAGTATTTGCTTCGTATTTCCTGGGTTTTTTTTGGGGGTGGGGAACGGATGTACACTAAAACACTCAGGAATATATAATAATTTAAACATCTGTATTTTGTTTTGAATACAGTAAGTAGAATTCATATCATGTATTAAAACCACTTGGCTAGAAAAATATTTATGAATGAGAGATCTTGCCTACTTATCCGATACTTACCTGTCTTCCACTGCTGTAGCTCCAAGTAATATCAGGTCTTTCTCTATGAACTCAAAGACATCTGCCAGCTTCTCTTCCCTTTGCTGCAAGGCCGTCCTAGCTTCAAATAGGCGTCTGTCTATTACCTCATATTCTTTAGATGTAAACTGTCTATAGGCAATACACAGAGTTCTTAGCCCTTTCTGAAACAAAAAAAAATCAAATGAAAACAAAAATGGATTAATGGGAAATCAAGAAGTCACTGAAATAAATGACCCCATTACCAAGACTGAATGACAAATTATTGAGGAAGGGCTGTCATCTAGTAATAGGAAATAATATGCTAATATTTCATAGTATCAGCTCATTTGCTCTCTGTTCATCTTAAACACATTACTCTATATTGCTTTACATTACTCCAACAGAAAAAAAGCATGATATAATGGATGACTTTTGGTTCAAATCCTGACTTTGCACTGACAGAGAAATTCTGATACTTGGTTTTTTGGGAACTTTAGTTTCCTCACACATGTACATAACAAAAATGAGAACTGAATGAGACATCTTTAAATGCAACAAGCGCTCAATATGTTTGTCTCTTTTCCTCATTCTTAACCTTTGTACATAAAGCTATCTAAATGAATCACATACACATACAGAGTTACAGATCTGCTTCTCTACTATGAGCCACTAAAGATCTGGGTCTATATCTGATTCATCCTTGTTTAAAACAGGTATTCAAATAAACTTGTATTAAACAAACATATTTTAAAAAATAGGCAAATGTTCAGAGTATCTCAAATACTCCTCTAATAATTTACAATTTCTCATTTAGTGCATCACATTTTTTAAATTAAAAAACATACATTTTCACATCTCTGAAACTGAGATGTGTACTATTCAATGGTATGCAATGTTGTTAAGTGCTAATGAGTTGGCACCAACCCATAGCGACCCTGTATAGGATTTCCAAGGAGCGGCTGGTGAGTTTAAACTGCTGATCTTGTACTTCAAACTGACTTTGCAGCCCAGTGCATTAACCCACAGTGTCACTCCAGGACTCCTATGGTATATAATGTTATTGCTGTCAAGTGTCATCAAGTCAATGGTATGTAACAGTATTGAATATATAGTACATCATTATTCTGACAAAAAATAATGGCATAGATCATAGTCCAGAGGTAAATACTAATCCTGAGCATAATATATTACCTTCCTTTCAGAAATAAAAATAAATTCAAATTCCTGCTCTCCCCCCCACCCCCTGAGCCAACAAAAAAAAGCTCTAATACACAGGGGGTCTTCAAATGTTCTTGGAAAATTTCATTATCTTTTCACTCAATTTTTCCACAAACTTTCTGAAGACCCTTGGAAGAATAAGATTAGGTGCTTTGAACAGTCACAATATGTTAGTGTGGAACATATAATCATAACTCTTTCATGTCCTAAAAAGTCCTTAAACAGTTGTTCAGAGGAATGAGCTCCTGGGTCTGGGTGCTCAGGACTGTAGTTTCAGGGAACACCATGGTCAACTGGCATAACACAGTCCACAAAGACAATGTTCTACATCCTACTTTGGTGAGCAGAAACTAGGGGCTTAAAAGCTCATGAGCAACCAGCTAAGTGCAACTATTGGTCTCTCTCTCTGTCTGAAGAAAAGAAGCATGAAAAAATTTCAAAGACACATAGAAACAATTTGTCCAATGGACCACATGAACACCATGACTCTGAGACCAGAAGAGCTATATGGTGCCTGGCTACCACTACCAACTGCTCTGAAAGGGATCATACTGAAAGGTCCTAGATTGTGCCATCAAGTGGGTTCTCACTCATAGCAATCTTTTATAGGGTTTCAGAGGAGCAGCTGGTGGGTTTGAACCATCACCTTGCAGTTAATATCGACCTTGCTGTCTACAGAGCCACAAAAGAACTCCTAGATAGAGTAGAGAAAAATCATAAAAAAAACCCAGCTTACTGGTTCAATAGAGACAGCCTGAATCCAGAGACTAATGGCCCTTGGTCATCTTTTAAGTCAGAAATGAACTCACCCCAATGGCTCAATTTTCAGCCAAACAATAGTTATATAAGGGGAACATAAACATTAAGAAGGTGCACATGCCTTCTAATAACCAATTTTTTGAGATCAAAAGGGGAGGATTTACCAAAGGACAAAGTTCAGAAGCATTAGAAAAGTGGAGCAACAGACACAGGAAACGCAGAAAGCAAGTGAGATAAGTGATACTACAGTATGGGGATCACAACCAGTGAGATGAAACAAATGTGCATGGAGTGTAGAATGGAAAACTGATCTGCTCTGGAAATCTTCACCTGATTCACAGTAAAAAGGAAAAAAAGTTGCTCAAAATAACAATGGTCATCGAAATGTAGAATAATATTACAGCCTAGAAAGGATCATACAATAGCTTCTCTATGGCTTTATAAATGATACCTAGAAAGTCAGAGACTTCTATGACAGTGCCTATGGAATTATCAAGAGAGGCAGACCAAGTTCTATTCTCCAGTTTTAATCATTATAAATTCATTTTTATCTATTTCCCTTTTTTAAAAAAAAAAATTTAAACAACACCCCCCCAAACCCCCCCACAAAAAAAAAAAAAAAAAAATCCGTTGCCATCAAGTTGATTCTGAATCATAGTGACTGTAGAGTTTCCGAGGTTACACGTCGTAACAGGAGAAGAAAGCCTCTTTTTTCCTACAGTGCAGCTGGTGGATTTGAACTGCTGACCTTGTGGTAAGCAGCCCAAAGTGTAACACACTATGCCACCAGAACTCCTTTTAAGCAAATGGCACCACAATTTCCTGATGGCTCATGGTCTGACAGAATCAGTCACTCAAAAAACTAAAAAATGGCCATTATCAAACTAACAATACTTTTAGATGCACCGAATCAATTACTTTAATTTCCTTCATTATATACAGTGGTGAATTGGAAACAAAACTTGAAAACATATATTACATTATCTGATATTATTGAGTTGAAGGTTTTCTTATGGCATTAATCTCTGAAAATTGGTGCCTAAATAGTATAAAAAAGTTTATAAAAATGCCTTTTATTGCTATGCATTTTCCCAGAAAAACTCCTAACCATTGTTGTTCTATCAGAATTTAGAAAGGATAGGTTTTAAAATACTGTATGACACTATTTAGCAGATTTTTAAATTATTTATTTAAAAAATTTTTAAATATCTATATTCCCCTTATTTACAAATGACTCACACCTATAAATAATGTTCTCTTAAATTAATGAGCCATCAGCTATTTAGTCAAATATGAAATCGTTCAGTTCATTCTACAACAGAGATTTATTGAGTGCCAATTATGCTCCAGCATTGTTCTAGATATTAAAATGGTAATGAAGCAGAACAAAGTGTTTACTCTCATGGATGCTATAGCATGGCCAAAGAACTAGATTATAAACAATAAGGAAACAAACAATGGGATCCTGGTGTGGTGCTGTAGGATAAGTACCGGACTGTTAAACTTGCAAGGCCGGTGGTTCAAACCCACCAGTTGCTCCTTGGGAATCTTAACACAGGGTCTCTATGAGTCAGAACAAATTCAAGGACACGTAACAACAACAATGCTCCAGCATTGTTCTGGATATTAAAGTGGTGGAAAGGCAGAACAATGTCTTTAATCCCATTATTAAATGTCAATCCATTTTGCTGGTGGGGGGGGGGGCCTCTTTTTCATTGACTTTCCATTTTACCAAGCATGGCAATGGTTGGTCATTTTTCCTTTTCCAAGGAATGGTTTCCCCTGATAACATGTCCAAAGTATGAGAGACAAAGTCTTGTTATTCTGGCTTCTATGGAGCAATCTGGCTGTACTTGTTCCAGGTTTGTTTGGTCTTCTTGCAGTCCATAGTACTTTAAATATTATTCTTCATCACCATAATTCAAATGTATCAATTCTTCTCTGACTTTCCTTATTCACTGCCCAACTTTCTTAAGTATGTGGCAATTGAAAATACCATAGCTTGGGTGTCAGTGTACCTTAGTCCTCAAACTGATTTCTTTGCTCTCTAACACTTCAAAGAGGCCTTTCTGCAGCAGATTTGCCTACTGAACACATTGTTTGCTGTCTTGACTACTGCTTCCATGAGTGTTGATTCTAGATCCAAGCAAAATGAAATTTCTGACCATTTTAATCTTTTCTCCAATTAACACTTTGCTATTTACTGGTCCAGTTGTGAAGACTTCTGTTTTCTTTACATTAAAGTGCAATCCATATTGAAGGCTGTAGTCTTTGATCTTCATCAATAAGTATTTCAAGTCCTCTTCATTTCCAGCAGTAAGGTTGTATCATCTGCATTATCGAAATGTTTAATGAGTCTTCTTCTAATCTTGATGCCATACTATTCTTCATATAAACCAGATTCTCAGATTATTTGCTTAGCATATAGACTGTAAAGACAGGGTAAAAGGATACAACTCCAGTACATACCTTTCCTGATTTTAAACTGTTCAGTATTCCTATGTTCTGTTCTAACAACTGCCTTTTGGTCTACGTACAGCTCGTCATGAGCACAACTAAGTGTTCTAGAATACCCATTCTTCACAATGTATCTCAGAATTTGTCATGATCCACACAGTCAAAAGCTTTATCACAGTTAATAAAGTCCAAGTAAACATCTTTCTAGTATTGTCTGCTCTTAGCCAGGATCCATCTGACGTTAGAAACGATGTTCCTAGTTCCACATTCTCTTCTGAATCCAGTGTGAATTTCTGGCATTTTCTTGTCAATGAACTATTGCAACTGCTTTTGAATTATCTAAGCAAAATTTTACTTGTATGTGATATTAATGTTATTGTTCAATGATTTCTGCGTTCTATTGGGTCACCTTCATTTGGAATGGGCACAAATATGGATCTCTTTCAATCGACTGGCCAGTAGCTGGTTTCCAAATTTCTTAGCGTAGATAAGTGCCTCCAGTATTGTTTTAATTGTTCTTCATCAATGCCTCCAGGGCAGCTTGGACTACTTCCTTAGTACCATTAGTTCTTGATCATATGCTACCTCTTGAAATGGTTGGACATACACCATTTCTTGTAGGTTCAGTGACTCTGTATATTCAAGACTGTTTAATAATTCCTGTTCTCATGAATTATAGCATTTGTTCTTGTAATAGTTCTCTGTATTCTTTTAATTTCTTTGGGATATATATCTCAGACTGGAATTGCTAAGTCATAGGAAAACTCTATGTTAAACTGTTTACCAAAGTGGTTGCACCATTTTATAATCCCATTAGCAATATGTGAGGGTTTCAGTTTTGCCATATCCTTATGATTCCCTTATGCTCTAAAAATAAGCTCCCCTTTTAAAACAGAGTAGTATGAAGGTTCTTGTATGTATAATACATTCTAAATGTAATAAATTCAAAGAGAGTGTGGATATTTTTGTAGGTTAAAAGTCAATTTTATATATATATAAAAAAAAAGTGGCACCAACACATAATGTAACAAAACAGCAGAGCATCTATAAATTTTAATTGTTAATGCAAAAATAAAGCCTAACAAGACCTGGGGACTCTTGGGCCCAGAGTCAGTGACATAGCCAC